CAAGGCAGGACATACAAGCACATGTCAGCTACATTTCAAGTATGTGGCAGAACCATTCCATGATGCCTCAGGTGGTGGCAAGCTATATATCTGAGGGTGACCAGATTTACACACACTGATTGCTCAGTGCTCTCAAAAAGTGCTGACTGGGAAGAACTGTCTGTATGCCTGTTAATGTGAAAATTGTCTGATGAAAAGGAGAACAATAAGAGCATATATTAATCTTTTATGTATTTAAATATAAATTAAAAGCTTGCTTGTAACTTTGTTTTCAGGGTCTGACCTGTTTCATGACAAGCTAAGTTTAAAAGCAATTTTGACTTCTTGCTGCAAATGGAAGTTGCTTATTTTTTGTTTGTTCAGAGCTCTTCTAGCCAAGAAAATTGTCCATGATGAACTGCAATTCTACATTTGTGTGTATACGCATATAGTATTTAGGTGTTTTGTTTCAGCTGACTTGGAATGTTGTGATTTGCTCAGAAGGAGCTCTGAAAAAAATATTTGGAGGTATCTGCAAATAAGATAATAATTTGTCTGTCTGTCCAGGCATGGTAATTTGGAAGCAGGCAGCAGAGTAATTGTCACTGGTATGGCCTTCAGCAGCTGATACTTTGATACACACTTGATGGACAGCTCTTTTCCCATCATAGTCAGCATTTTTATATTCAGGAGCAGAATTTTAATTATGGTGAAGTATTGTAAATCTCTTTTTGCCCACAATATTCTGTCCAAGTGTATCTTTAGTTCTGCACTGCAGTAATTCTTCCCTGATACCTAGAAAAACCAACCAACCTCAGAGAATGTTAGTTGTCAGTGATGCAGTAGCACAACAATACACCTGTGCTTGTGTTTCCTGTGTTCTTTGTTTTTCAGCTTACCTAAAAGTCATCTGAGAGTGTTTGCATCCAAAACATTGCTAAAATTGATTTTTTAGAACATGATTTGACTGCATTATGGATGGCTCAGCCTGCCAAAAATTCTCATGGGTGATAAAGTCTGGTTGTCTTCAGCATTTTTCGGCAACCTACAACCTAAATCTCAAAGAATAAAGGGATTTCAGGCTGGAGATGGACTGTGCTTTCCTGAGTAAAGAGATGTTAGAGCAAATTAATGAAATTAAGGAAGGATAGGAATAATTTTTTGTGGTATTGGTCATATTAAGTGGTACTCAACTGTCTAAATGTAGGCCTGAAATCTGATGCCAGAAGTCAGCACCTGGAAACTGTAACATTTCGGGGGACCCCAGCAGGGGCAGCTGGAGCTCCAGGGTTCCCCATACCATATTCAGGTCCTGAAATCCAGACCTTGTATTGTTTACCTGCAGTTGCACAGTATTCTTGAATGCATCACTTGTAGTTTGTCAGGCCCCTCCTAGCCTGATTTTTGCACTGCCAGGAGGCTTCAGTGAGGCAGAGCACATTCTTGGTCATGGTAGGTGTTAATGTCTATGCACAGCTTTTTGGTGAAATTGAAATAACTAGCAAAACAAACTAGGACAATCGGGTTACATGTGGTATGGAGGTGTTTCTTCTGCCATTGTGTTGATGAAAATTTTCACTTTTTAATTGTACACAAATGGCAGAAATCTCTCTTCTGGCTCTTTTTTCTTCCCTAATGCAACCAATTTAAATCTAAGTGTGGTTTCTACCATATGCTTGTCTCAACCATATTTGCAGTTAAAAAATATTTCCAAAACATAAGAGTTCAGGGAAAATACACTGTTAACCATGAGTCTGTGTAGCTACTAATTTTTGAGGGTGATGTTAGCAAAAAGAAAAGATTGATGTACATTGGTTGAAACTAAGTGATAGACTTTAAGCATGGAAAACAGTAAGACTTTATCAGCTTTGTCTAAGAGTATGTGTTGTGAATAAGGCTGACATGCTTAAAAGGTACTATGGTACTATAATAAAAGGTACTCTGCAAATTTTTCAAGTATGGGAAGTGCACTCTGAAGTGATTGAAGTTAAAGGCTGTCATTATGACAAAAATTTTGGACATGTGTTTCAGTTTCTGTTGTCTGCAAGCTTCTGAATCAGTGCTGCAAGATGAGGATAACTATTTTTTAAAACTGAGTTCCTAAGTTTAAAATACAAAGTGCTACTCTGGAACAAAATAGTAGTGCTTATTAAAAAACATGTTTCTATGATCAACTTAGTATGCAGGAAGGAGTTTCTCTCTCTCATCATTCAGGGAAAGATGGATTTTGTGTTTGAACTTACATTGGTTGTTATAAATGTTCAGCACAAATGTAAGAGCGTGAGTAGAATAGCATAGAAACACAGCATGACTAAAGGAAAGCTGTAAGGAAAAAGGCAGCATTCCATTTCCTGACAGAAGAAAACAGATGACAGAATCTCTTAAGAAAATGTGCGTAATTTTCTACAGCACTACAGTCTATAATAAACAGTATTGCTGATGGTTTTTCAGTACATTTTGTTCATGGCTGAGGAAGATGGGGATGAACAAATGCAAGGTATGTATGGATAGTGGACATGGTCCAGCTCCTGGGTCTGGTTGAATCTGGGGCAGTAGATGTGGGGAGGCTTCTCTTTGGGAATGTAAGGGAATGTGCTTGCTTTGAAGAGACCTGAGTGTGCAGTGCAGAGGAGGTGGGGAAAGGCTGGAAAAAGAAAGGAGCCCGTGGGAGAGGGCAGGCTGGAGCGCGTGGAGTGGCATGGAATGTGTTGTTATGGCAGGGAGCAGCCCAAGCCACAGAGGAGATGAGGGGAGATGGAGCAGAGGTTGTTAGCTCCAGGAGCTGCTGAGAATTGCTGTCTCATGCAAGGGAGTAAGGGACTCTCCTGCAAAGGAGGGCAGTACAGCTTCTTCTCATCTCTTTCATCTAATCGTCCTCTTTGCTGTGGATTTTCTCCTATTAACAAGCACATTTTGGTTCAGTTTCTTTGTCTAATAAAAGGTTCATTTTGTGTTTTTGTGGTGTAATTGACTCTGATTCTCTCTTTAAGTAAAAAATTATCTGTAGGACCCTAAAATTTACAACATACTGGGAGAAAAGAGAAAACATTGTATATAATAGCCAAAAAGTCCAGTTGTCTGTCTTCAATTTGGGAAGCATTCCAGATGAGCACCATAAATTTCATTGCTTCATGGCAATAAGCAAAAATTTGCAGGAATAGAAAGAAAGAAAATAGCTGCAAGGCCATCTTCCTGAACCGGAGAATGGTATTTGCTATAATCCTGCTGTTCCTGCAGACTTTGGTTTCAAAGTTTAGACAGTTGTAAATTTTGTTTCAGTTTCTTTGGAAAACACTGACAAAAAGCAAGTGAAAGGAGATCTTCAGAACTGAGGATGGAGAATGTAGGAAGAAGAAGGATCTTGAAGCAATCAATACAGAGAGCAGACAGAAGTGCTGAAGTGGTGTGGTACAGGAGACCTCTTCTTTCACCAGCTCTGTAGCTGCTGGAAGGCCCTGGAACAAGCAGGGGTCTTGTCTCCCAGCAGTCGCAGGGTTGGGAGCCTTCATCTTTCTCTCAGCCAGAGGCATGAGGAAGAAATGAAGGAAGTTAGTTATAGAAGACAGCTCAGGGAAAAAGAAGAAATCTAATTTCAGAGTGTTGGCTTTGGGAGGAGGATAAGCTCATTATAAATGATCTGTTTGTGTGGGGTCACTCATCTCCCTCCGTTCCCATCTTTGACCTCTTAAGTTGACTGGGGAATTTTTTGTACCCTCTTTGAGTTACAAAGTGGATTTTTTTTGAGTGGATTTCTCACCTTGGAAAAAGGAGGACAGAAATGAGGAAAGAGGCTGGAATGATGACTTTGAAGAGGGTAAGGAACAGTATGCTCATTGAGTTGTGCAAGTTTTACCAATAAAAGTACCAGTGCAAATGGTTTTCAATAGTTCCTTGTAGTTTTTTGTGTCAAAAGGAGTTGGAGACTAAATTGTGTTGAATCATACAAAATATTTCAGCATCTGTTTTCAAACTGTTATATTCAAGAGAGACAAAAAAATTGGATACAGACCATCAGAAACTTTAGTGATACACAGAAAAAAATATTTTAAGGTGATCTTAAAGAAGGGAGTAACTTGTATTTAGCTTTTGTACACCTTCTTGCCAGATATGCCTAGAGGGGAAACAAATTTCTCCTCAGCTTCATATGAAGAACAAGAAGATTTGGGTGGAGAGATTTGGTTCATTTTGACCTGTTGACACCTTTGGAAAATCACACCAAATTTGGTGATCAATCCCTTTCTACCCAACTTCTTTGTAAAAACATGCATAGCTCTTGGTACAAAGATGATAATCACTTGGCAGAAAAAACAGTATTCACCTGCTGATGTTTAAGCATTCCCTTAATACTGGGACACAAATTTAAGTCTTACTTCTGCTTTTCTTACTGATTTCCTGCAGAAGTGTGCATAGAAGAGATTACCTGCATATAAAAACTTGCTCACCATGGAGAAGGGTTAAGAACATTAGGTTCTCTGGTTGCCCCTCATCAGGTGCTGGTATTTATTCCTGCTATATTGAGAAAGTTGTGCTGAAAGTGAATGTGGTAGTGTCACTCCAGCTATGTTAGCATCTAACAAGAAAACCGTTGCATGTTCAAACTTCTTTTTTAGATCTAATAATTATGGCTGCTATCAGCCCCAGCCACTGTACTTAGTGTTATAACTGACAGCTATAATCTTAATTTCTCTCACTTAGTGGTGCATGTGGTCGCAGATACATGCAACTAGTCATTTGTTTTTCTGAGGAGGTGCCTTTTTCTCCTGTTTGTCACCAGTTTTCACCTAATTTAGGTAGCTTGTGGATGGAGGTCTATTACATTGGTGTGTAAAAATTTTATAATTTCTTTAGCTAAGTAAATCTGAAACGATACAACCCTATCAAATCTAGTAATTTAACAGGTGAATATTACCACAGATAGACTTATATTTAGGTGCTGCACACTTTTCTTATTTAACCACATGAAGCTTTCCGTTGTGCTAATGTAGTATCCCCGAACCTTTAAATTCTGTTTTATCTCGCAGGCACACCGCTTCTGGTACGGAGGAGCAGTGATCCAGCTTTGGGTGCACCTGATGACTTCCCAAGTGCTTCTCATCCCAGTGACTATGGCCTCAAGCATGTCGTGGCAGTAGGTGTCATGTGACTCACCTCTTGCTTAAGACCGAAACGTTTCTTTCCTGTTGGAGTATAATAGTTTTATAAGCTCCATATGTATTTGGATCTATAACCAAATGCACCACACTTATTTTCTGTAAAGTAGAGAATTTCCTCTGGAAAAATAGTTTAGGTGATACAATCAATTAACAGTGGTTCTATAAGAGATTTACATAAAGCTTAGTGGTGTCATAAGGCATTGGAATATGAACTGAACTTTCAGCAGTTATTTATTTGTTCAGTATCATGTTTTGCAGTTTGTCATTGTTTCTTTGCCCTTGCACCCTTTTTCACTTGTCTTGTTTTCTAAGGGCATTTCTGTCATCTTTGGTACCCTGCTGCTATCCTACATGGTCTCTGTCTCACTTCTCTGTTTGACCTGACTCTTCCCTTTCGAGGACAAATTTGTTTTCAATATAGTTATTCCTAAGTTCTATTGCAAGGCCACAATTAGTGAAAATGCAGTAACTCTTAATTATATGTTTTTGCAGACTGTCTTTAATCTTCTTAAAGTGATGCTGTCTTAGTCACACTTGGGCCACATGTTCTACTTTGCAGTTTTAAGACCTGAAGCTTTGTGTGTAGGGAAAGTGTTCCTACATTTCTTATAAACCAATGAAATTCTTCAGAATCTCTGAATGTCAGCTGGGACATGTAAGTGCCTTGAGCTGAATAAAGCTATTTTTCAGATTTTGCCCAGAAATCTCTGGTGGGTCTAGTTCTGCTCTTCTTTAGACCACATGAATGCTGGCTTAAATGGTGACTCTGCTTTCATCTGCTTGTAATATTTATGCCTTTTCCCCTTTAGATTCTCTGCATAATGTTGCAGTTCACTCCCTGTCCCCAGCTGTGCAAAACAATATATTGCTGGTTTGTTTCAAAACAAAGCAGCACTCAGAAACCCTGAGTCTTTGTTTGGTGCAGGAGGGATGTTGCAGACTAGATCACAACTACTTTAGAGCAATGTTCCACAAAAGGCTGTGCTGGCACATTAGGGAGTGGGGGGAGAGAGCTGGGGTTCAGTGACACATCCTGGAGATGGGAACCTTTCACCTGAAGGTGTATTTAAGACCAAACTTCCAATGAAGTTCATGTGAATAAAGGAAGTAAATAGTCAGTCGACTTGCATGCAGATGATGTTCTATGAATCTCACTTCACCACTGCAATTCTGAAGGCCAACACAGGGTTTTAGTTGACTGTTCATTGTTTCTCTTTGCATGGTCAAATGCATGTGCATTTAAGTAATTTGTGTGCACCTTATTTTACAATGGCTTGTGTTATTTGCTAAGTGGTGCAATTTTAAAAGTCTCAGTAGCTCTCCAAGTATATTTTGATGTTACAGGGGGCTGAACTGGTCAAAGTTACATATCATTTGTCAGACCTGTTTGAGCTGAGAGGTTTTTCTTGATGTTTGTTGCAAGTATTTACTTATTAATGAAATACTGAGTCTGATAAATGAAAGTACAAAGAAGAATTCTTGGTTAACAGTGCAGATCTTACACTCTTGGCAAAGCTGAGAAACATATAAAGTGATTATGTCAGTATGTAACACTGAACCCCAGTATTTTATAACTGTGAACATGGCAAAAAAAGGTGGAAAAATAAGCAAAATCAGTTTCATTCCAGGGTGTGTTTTGAATGCTTTATAGACCATCAAGAAAAAAAAAATAGCATTTTGTTGAGTTGAGTTTTTTAACGTAATTTTAGTGGTGACAAGTGCATTTTATGCTATTACATGAGGATTGCAGTAATACTTAGAGGTTAAAACCTCACCATGCTTCACTGACTTGCATCAGTACAAAAGAGTCCTCTAGCCTAAAGGAATTATCTGTGCTAAAATACAGAGCATCCCTCTGTCAGCTGTAGGGGTGACAGTCAAAGCTGGAAAAGTAATAGGGGTGGAGAAGGATTTTTTAAAAAATATATCATGTAAAGTGGAGGTGGGGGAGGCCCTGAAAGTTGAAAGTTGTGCTTTGGTGCTGTTCTGGTATTTTTGTGAAAGCAAAAATCTATTACAGCAAAATTACATTACACTAACTCTTATTTTTGCAACACTACCATTAATAAAACTCTCATCATCAATCATACTGAAATATGCTTTGGAATAATGTTCTGGGAAACACAGAAAGCTTAAATAACATAGGTTAAATTAGGTACAGATTGTTTTAAAACATGCATAAAAATCAATATCTGACAAATGAAAAAACATGGCAGAAATAACTGAACACTGCATTTTGAAAATAGCTTTAGTCTTTCAAGTGTTAAAGTGGTATTCAGAAAAAATTCATTTGTTCTGTACATTGCTGCTGAAAATTTAAAACTAATACTGAATTTCCTTTGCCACAAACGACAGGTTTTTTTAATGTTAAACTGCTTCCTTTAGTCACATGTCACATGCAAGTTAGAATCCTGAAAACTGTTTCTAGATGAAACATTCTTCAGTGCTTGTAGTGAAAATTAAGTCCCTGTACTTATGCCACAATTATCTTAGCAATTATTTTGTAATTGAAGCTGATTTTCATAATTAGCTGAGCTGTTTTGGCACTTTGGGCGTTTTGGTGCGTGGTACACATGGAACAGGCAGTGGGCTCTGTGTGGCAGTTCCCGTATGCTGCCTTACACTGATGCACCAGTGCTTCAGCAGATTCTTGAGTGGTGACTACCGTGGCATTCTCTGAAGACAGCACTGATTTACCTCCTGGAAAGTGCACTTCAGTTGTACAAAGAGTAATGCACTAAATAGTACAGCAAACATGCAGTGATACAAGGAAAGAACTTTGCTATCCCATTCAGGTGAACTGGTTGAACCTGATGAATCATTTGAGCTGTTCACATTATTTATGGCATCAAGCAGAGCATGTATTCTGTTTGTCAGCTGTCCCATTTATTCAAAGGAAGATCTGATTTTTTTAATGCTATATGATGATTACAAAAGTAACAAAGCCTGTTCTGAATGATCAGGTAGTTTGAGGAGAATTTGAGCTATTCTTTCCTATTTTCTCTGACACATCTTAGCTGTAGTTTTAGCCCCAATTAACAAAATACTTCTAGATCAATCAAAAACCAATAGTGAAGTCCAGCATCTGTTCCCTCAGACTGGAAGTCATTTAACAGATGGTACAAAATTTGAGTTTCTTTTTTCATCCAAACCTCTCTTTCCTTACTGTGATAGCTGCCACTGCAAAATTTAGAGACAGTAATCAGGGAAAAATAGGGGTAACACACATCAAAATTTATTCTTTGTTTGTATTGAAAAAAAAGTATTTGTTAATGTTTTTGGGGTTTTTTTACTTTATTAAAGCTGCTCCATAGCTCTTCTGCCTAGTTAGGATCATAGAACCCTGACCAGGCTTTCAAGAATGAAAACTTTCTTCCCTTGGTATCCAGAGAGGACTTCAGGGATACAGAATTAGTTTAATGTTATTATGCGCATCTGTGGATTGGGCAGAAGTGATTGAGAACATTTTTCCTGAGGGGAAGGAGAGGTGATGACTGATGAAAAACTCAACATGAACCAGCAGTACGCACTTGCAGCCCAGAAGGTCATCTGAACCCTGGGCTGCAAAAAAAATGTGACCGGTAGGTTGAGGGGCGAGATTCTGCCTCTCTGCTCCACTCTGGTGAGACCCCACCTGGAGTGCTGCATCCAGCTATGGGGTCCCCAGTACAGGAAATACATGGACCTGTTGGAATGAGTCCAGAGGAGGGCCATGGAGTTCGTAAGGAGCTTAGAACACCTTGGAGAGGCAAAGGTTGTGTGGAGACCTCATAGAAGTATCTGAAGGAGGCCTGCAGGGAAGCCAGAGAGGGACTCTTCATCAAGAACTGTAGTGACAGGACAAGGAATAATGGGTGAAAACTGTGAAGGGACATTTTGGTTAGATATGAGAAAGAAATTCTTTGTGATGAGTGGAGTGTGGTGAGACACTGGCACAGGTTGCCCCGAGAAGCTGTGGATGCCCATCCCTGGATGTGTTCAAGGCCATGTTGGATGGGGCTCTGAGCATCCTGGTCTAGTGAAAGGTGTCCTATATCAGGGGCATTGGGACTAGGTGATCTTTATGGCCCCTTCAACCCAATTCTAGGATTCTGTGATTCTACTTCTCTGAAAAGTTATGTGCCCATAGTTTTGCTCTGGCAAAGGCCAAGGGCTGGTCCAGCTGCAAATGGTCGGGCCTCACAAAGTGGGTTTAGCAATGGACATGTAGTCTTCAGCTAGGGATCTCCTCTGGAGCGAGGCCATGGAGTGGGATTGAGATGCTGAAACCTTCCAGAAGAAACAAGCCTTCTTGGGGCACTTAACACTTGCTCAACACTTGTCCCCAGTTTGCTGAGCGGAGCTGCAGTTTCAGATTTTCTTCAACTCAGAAGTTCCTGACTGGATCCCTCTGCCCAACATGGTAGGGATGAGATGCAGCAAGGCAGAAAGTGTGAATTGTGTGGCACTGTTGGTTTGGTGCTGGGGAGCGGAATGCATTTTGCTGCTTCTGCTCAATCAATTTCATTCAGGCAGTAATTGCCAACATCTGAACTTTGGTTTCTGGAGCTGTTACTTCTGCTTGTCTCTCTTTTTGCCCAGGGACAGACTTCCTCTACTGTCATGAGATTTGATTTGTCATGAGTTTTAGACAGAGGATCCTATTTGAATTGATAATAATTTTCATTAATTCTGATGGGATTAAGGTTTCATCCCTTCTTGTTAACTTGCTGATTATTATTGTATGCTATTTTCTGCATGAGTTTCTTTTATAGTTACATGTTTTCTGGACAAATACTTAGGTTATCTTGGAGTTAATCAATAGGACTGGCAGATCAAATTGTATTTATCCATATTTAAAGATACAATGAGATGCTGGATCAATTGAAGAATCGCTCCAGTGGCTCAATACAGTTTCAATTTTTGCCTAGATATGACTTGAAATTCACTGTATTTTATGCATTGTGGACATGTAATTTGCAATTTTGAATAAGGG